TTGGAATACTCAACTAGTCTTCGATGACGACGATGACAATGAGCACGAGAAGGTCACTTCTTCAGATGCCTAATTGAGTCGTCTGTTGCATGCGGATATTTCGACATGGCTCCTTTCTCCAATGACGCTGTCCATCGCACAGTGGCTCATTTCTGTTCTACATGCAACGAGCTGGCATAAGAATTACTGGGACAAAAGCAAATGCTTTTGTACCGTAGTGAAATGCCACTCGACAAGATCTGTGGATTAGCGCAGTGCAACTGTGACTCGTGCTGAAGCCTTTAAAATCTTGGAATAGCTTCTATGACTAACAGCAGGTACTAAAATGCATCTGGTTTTCGAGGAGTCATTCGTTATTCGACGCACGAATCGCTTACGGTGCTTATTCGGTAGCATGCAAGGAGTACCAGCTGGTGAATCATCGTTCCTGATGACTGTGAAGTGGCTTTAGCAGATAAAATAATGCGAGATGCGCTTAGTATTATCGTTCTCAACTACCATGGAGCCATAGCCTGCTCAAATGGCACCCTTTGGCAACTACGAACAAAGGGGTGGTGCACTGCTTTGTTCGTAGTTGTGAAACCTGGTCTCGGATAAGTCTTTCGGTATTTGGCGCACTCGGACATAAGAACAGCTCAGGATTGTGTACGTTAAAGTTAAGACGTTCATAAGTAGGTCCACGATAAACTTGATTATTATAACAGAGTTACCTTCATTACATTGAAACATCAAGAAAAGATAGATTGGAATTGTTTTCTCGTTCAGTAACTAACTCTATGTTTTAATGGAATGGGCAACTGAGGAGGTTCAGAGCATTATTTTTATCTTCGCCCAAAATTACTGCCAAAATATTTTTAAAAATCTTTGGAACTACGTCTGACTTCGTATTTCAGTGTCCATAAAAATTTCGACAAGAATTAGGAGCGTGTTGAGTTTGTTTGAGCAACCTACCATCGATGGAAAAATAACTCGTCTCTGCCATGCAAAAAAATTAATTGTGTGATAGAATTAACTGAGAGATTACAACGTTTTTTAAGTTAATGACCGTCATGAAGAAGTTTGCCAATTATTTTAATACTTATAAGTCATTGACTTTCTAACTAACCATAATACTCCTTTCAACCATCTTGGTCAATTGCAATTCATTGGTAAGTTTTGGTGTGTGATGAGTTTCTTCTAAGTCCCAGTGTTTTAGACGCCAATTTAAGGACTTCTGCGAATAAACATTTCACTGCCGAAACAACAGGCTGTATTTTAAGTAAGGTTGTGCAGTGCCGATTCGTCATAGCTGAATTTGATACGGGTCTATATAAACTGAAGAGTTTTGGATTTAGATGATCATGTTGGACAATAGCCGTTAAAAGTCAGAATAGGTATTTAGTGGGATAGATGTTAAGCACGCCGTGATAACTGTTGCTATAACTTAATTCATAAAAATTTCATTACAGACACTTTAACCTCATTAAGTGTATCGCATGCGAAACGGATTAGAATCCAGTAAAAAGACATAATGATAATTCAAAGTAGAACTTAGTGCGAAGGCTTGAGGCGCAGCATGCGGTAGTTTCAAAATCTCCGTGGTGCATAGCCGTTAGCAGATGTTCTCTGTCGTTGCACGCAGACCGGATGCCCCAGCTGCATTACAAACTTGAGTTTGCTCTTAGGCAAGTGTAAACATTCTGGACATTCGGTGGGCTACGTCGAACCAGTTGGACGAACTTTTTGTCAGCCGAAAAATGCACATTCCTCAAGCGAATTGCTTTCGGCACTTGACACTCGGCACAGGTTTGCTGTCGCAGACTTTGCTGGCCGGTCACGTCGCGGGACGTTGTCCGAAGGGGGACGCGTCGCTGAGGTTTCGGTAGTCGAGTTCTCGAGGGTCGGCACTTGATGGTCGTCGACTGGTCGTCGGCGTTTCAACTTCACTCGAACTAGTCGTTCTCTGTCGTTCGGTTTTCGATATCGGAAC